TCCTGATCGGGAAGTTCAGAAAGTTGGCCGTTGTTGGGAAATTTATTTGGAAGCGGGGTTGGTCCCATTGCTGACGTGACGAGTACGAGTGACGAGGTGGTACCAGGTACCAACTGACTCGACTCATTTAATCACGGATCAAATGAGCGGCCAGAGTGACGTTCCGAAAACCACAAGTTCGCTCGTCACCATGAGCTCACGGTCGGTGCACGTTTTTTGCGGCTTGAGCCACAAGAGAAAGTCTCCCTGGTGATGTACACTGTACGTACCAACAGATCCAACAACAACAACTCGTCAATTCTTTCCCATAACTTTCGGCTTTTGAGAAGACTTTGAAGACTTTGCATCTCGCTTCAAAAATTAATAGCACTAGTATACCCTGATCAACCTTTTCCAACCAAGTTTTGTCGATACTTCCGACAGAATCATAAATTGAAGACTTTTTGCATTTCCGCTGGAAACGTACACTACTTGTATCTCAAGAAATTTCAAGAAAATAATGGGGGCATCTACGTCCAAGCCAGAGATTCCCAAGGCTGCTGCTGCAGTTGAAGCAAAACCTGAAACAGAGCCTGTCAGTGATGATACCAACTCCAGTTCCAAAAGTGAAAAGTCGGATGGCGGCGGGGGTTGCCCCATGAAACGCAGTGATGGTTCCTACAGCTATGACTGGAGGGCCATGTTCCAAAGACACCCCCATGGCTCCAAGGGTAGCAAGCCCCTGTCGTCGGAAAATATCCAACAGAACCAAGATGGTTCCCTGGCCGCCAAACAAGAAACAGCTGGACAAAGCAAGAGCGGACAGGGGGGTTGCCCAGTCAAGCATCAGGAATACAATGTGTATTCTCAACCCATCGATGCCACAAATAACATGCCCAAAGTTGCAAACCAACTTCCTGCCCCTGGACAATCCGAAGAGTTATCCACGAGTCGGGTCAAAAGCAGCATTACAAAGGTGAGTGCTCAACTGGAAATATTTTATTTTTGAGTTTGGAAATGTAGGCTGTACTCGCAGTTCGCAGTGATTTCTGATTGTTTCTTCGAGTACTCCAACTTTATTTCGTGTCTCAAATAATTGGTCTCGGTGAACGTTTTGATATTTTCATGGCATCGGTATATGTACCGTAGGGAGGAACAGAACAAGGAACAACCTGGACTTATCCTTCACCACAAATGTTCTACAATGCACTGGCCAGAAAAGGAAAACTTGGGGACACAAAAGAAGAAGATATGGAGTCGATCGTCGCGATACACAACAATATGAATGAAAAAACATGGGCGCGTGTAGTAGAATGGGAGCGAGTCCTGGACCCTGATTCGACTCCCAAACTACTCAAATTCATGGGAAGGCCCGCAGATTTGAGCCCAAAAGCTACCATCAAACACTACTTATTCGGCCATCCATTGCCTTATGATCGTCACGACTGGACCATTCTCAGATCTGATGGAACGACCGTGCGGTATGTCATTGATTATTACCATGATGAAACCAGAGCCAACGAATCGCCCGAATCGGCATTGCCGTCTCTCAAAGACCACAAGGCAACCCCCAGCTTGTTGGTGGATGTACGCCCAGCGGTCGATTCCCCCATTGTGGCTTGGAATCGAGTTGTCACAATGCCCTATGCCCAAAACATTGCCAAGACAACAGACCTCCAGGTCATGCCGTTGTCTCCATCCTCGGAAATGAAATCACAGGTAAACGAATCACTCGACGTTTGGGCTCAAATCAAAGCCAATGCCAGTCAAAAGAAAGAAATGGAAAACTTGAAACTGTCCATTTCCAAAGAGGATGCCACGGCACTGGCCAAGTCGTTTGCTCAGATTCTCAAAGACTGCCAAGAGGCAAGCGCAAAACTACAATCCAGTCAATCGGAGGAAGAGCATCAAAGGGCCAGCTTGGATTTGACAATTTGCATGTCCAAGATTGCTTGCCCACTGCAACACAAGACTTTGGTCAAGGCTTTGGGTGGTGACGACGAAAACACCATAGAAGCAGCACTGGACCGTGTTTCGGCTTGTGTCGCAGCAAGCACCAGCAAAAGATCAGCAGCAAAAGAGAAGTTTCCAGAGCTATTCAGTTCCGATAGTTAAATCGTACGTGCCAGCCAGGACAGTTCATTTCTGTACATGTATACTCTAGCTAGCTACAGCGTTCTTCCTTGGTCGTACCGGTGGGGCGCTTGCATGCGCAAGGTCCTTTGGGCCGAAGGAATGCAACCATGTGAGGTGCAATTCATTTCTTTCAACCGGAAACAACAGAAGATGGAAGATGAAAGTACAGCAGAGAAAAGACAAAATGATGTCTCTAACAGTTACTTATCGGCGCGCTGTAATGAACTATGTGCAGATTGCTGTGCTTTGGATCAAAAAGTTGTTTGAGTACAGTCAGTCAAATCGGTCCCAAGGAGTATCAAAGGAAGGCAGTCTTAAGGAGGAGGGACGTTGACTCCAGAAGGAACAAGTTTCACTTGGAAGGGGATTTGTTAGCTAGCGCAGGGTTCAAATACTGTACCACTAGTCCAGATAAAGCATCGTCACCAACATGTCCAGTTTCTTGGCCTCTTTCGTTGCTTCAATGACAGTATTGCTTTCATGGAACGCAAAGCTAATCAGTTGGTCGGTCTGACTGAGGAGGTAGGAGTTGCAGATTCGACTTGCAATATCCAATGACATATCATCATTTTGGGGCATGGTAATGACGTCTTCTACCTTTTCCAGCAACTCTTGCGATTCTTTGGTCTGCTTTCCCATTGATTGAGGTAGAATAACTGTTAGCAAGTCGGATCTTTCCGCCCGCAAGGCCCCCCTAATGGTGGCGGCATGTGTGCCACCTGCACCCGAAGTGTAAACATGATTCCCCGACAGCACCAAGGCGTAGGCTCTGCACGGTAGCATGCGGAATGAATGTCAGCAAAAGATAGGTTCAAAAGGAAGTGTGAGATAAGAGTTTGCAAGTTTCCAAAATGAAAGAACAGCTTAGTTTCTCAGTCCTTACAGAAGTTCAATGATTTGTTGGTGCAGGAACGAGCAGTGTCGGGTGCCCAGAATACAATACTTTTGAGGGCCTTGTTGTTGAATGGCTGCCAATTCCTTCAGAATGGACGTTACACTTCTCTCCTTTTCAATAACCTTGATCTGTGGATCACCAACATTGACCTCTTCTTGCCTCAGCGCTTCTCCTGGATCATATCCACCAACGTTGTCACTGCTTTTTCTTTTGGCAGCATCGATTTCCACCAATCTTGGAGGTTCATCCTCTTCATCTTGCTCTCTAGCACTCCTGGCCATTAGGTCTCGATACCCTCCTTCTAAACATCTCCGTCTGGTGACGCTGTGCCAATTCGATGTCGTTCTGGTCGTGAAGGACTCGCACACAGAGGCAGCCATGAACGCAATCAGCAAGAAGCGCATTTGCATGTTGGTCATCGCCATGATGCGATCCCACGCAAAAGGGGAAAGCGGGAGCTGGTGGTATCCTAATAATGTTCAATCACTAACTGCCTCAAATACAGAAATGCATGGACGGCTACAGGAAGCAACGAAGGACACGAGAGTCGCTCTGTTGTTGTCTGCTGGCAAATATCGTTGTAGTCGGTTACCGATAATACTGCTTGGCCATGGCGTTGAGATCTTTGATCAGATCTTGACCTATCTATTGGCTGTTCGGCTTCGGCATTCTTCGCCCAACTGATGCCAACGACGGCGACGAATTCTTGCTTTAGCCTCATCCTTATTCATTCACGTGACAAGACCACTCTGCCCTCGGCTACAAGCAGTTTTGGATCTGTCAGCTGTCGACCACGAAAGGACTACTAGTACTTGTATTTTTTGTGGCTGCTGCACTGGACTGACGCTCTTGATCTCCACCAGTAGCCAGCTAGCTAATGTTTGTCCTTTAACCCCTCCTCCTTTCCCTACCGTAATGTACCCTTCTTCATTGAAACCCTTTCCTCGCTCGGTTGGTCTGCGCTCTTGCAGGCATGGCTGTCCTGCTGACGCCCTTGAACATTACTGCCCTCTTCCTCTGGCATCCTCCCCCATAGTCCACTCTAAACATAGTACTGTAACCTTTTCGTAGTACCACGGAAGACCCAACTCAAGTCTTTCATTTTCCTCAACCAATAGAGTGTGGGATTGTGGGCTTGGTTGATCGCATTTTATCTTCTGGTGCAGCCTGAAGGCTGCAACCAAAATGGCCCAGTAATAGCATCAGAAAGATCTTTTTCACCACATTTGGATTTTCAAGTTGCGAAGTACCTGGCACAGCAGGAGCAAACCACATCTTCATCAACACTTGGGATGAAGATTCAAAAGCAAAAAGCATCAGACTTCTGATCAATGCTAACGTATAGAACGCAATTTGCACTTCAAACGAGGCAAAATCCGTTTTTTAGAAGATTTTAAGCAGATTGTCAAACCTTCGTCTACTTGGTACCTGTTCGACAGGCAACCCATTTGGATTCATACTTTGTTGTTGTGCCTAATGCTTTAAATTGCTTTTGAAGGCCTTAGCCAAATGTTCAAAAGGTTCAGAAAACAGCAGATTGGGTGCCGAAAACTCTAATCAATCTAGCCAATACTGCTGCATAATTGTTAATTGTTGTTTTGGGAAGGACTGTGCCAGGAAATAAACCCCCAACCACATGACTCATTGGACCCTTGTCACCTTAGTTAGGAAGTCAAATTAGTGCCTGGCGAATTGGACTCTCTCTGGATTTCCCGTTGGGACCGTCGTTTGTTGATTCTTCCAGCTACCCATCCAACGCCCGAGGCGATTCCCGAGGCTGACTTCTTCACAACTCCAGTTTTTTGCTCAAATTTCCGTGCACTGGATCCCACTGCTGCAGCAGCAGTACCTGACGCTCTAAATGCTGAACCAGCAGCACCCTTGTTCGTGGCGGCAACATAGGCAGCCCCTCCAGCAGCGGCCACGCCAACCAACGGCCCCACCAACATGAGACCCGCCACACCCGCCACTGCAGCAGCACCCCCAACAGCACCACCCATGCCTTTCTTTTTCTTTTTATTCTCTTCTTCTTCCTTTTTCTTGGCAATTTGATCTGCCTCGCTCAATTGGCCTGGTTGTGGTGGTCCCGTGTAATAATCAGAATGAGAAGGGAAAGAATTTGTCGAGTCTGCGACTGTGGGGGCTGTGGCAGTCGAGCCATTGTAGGAAGGAGTACTTTGCTTGTCCCATCCTGGATTGTAAGGATTGTAAGGATCTACCTCTGAAGTTGCATTGCTTGGGGTGGTTGCTGGTTGCATCATGGTTGTGTTTCTACCTGCAACGGTTTGTTTGTTATGAATATGATCTGCAGCAGCTTCTGCAGCTGACTGGGTTGTGAAACGGCTCCGTCTCGCTGATTTTGATCGTGGAACTGTTCAGCGCAGGTCCCACGCCCCACGCTGAAAACTTATCCATAACCTTATGAACGCGAAACTACTGGTACGAAACGCGCCCGTCGGTCTCTTTCGTTTCAGCGACTTTCAAAATCAAACTGTCTCACATTTTACTTCGAAACCCGGGAAAGGCAAAACGAAAACAGAGAAAGAGTTGTTGTCAAACACATCTATCGCACTCGTTCATTCATCAAGGGAAGAGCACAATATCATACATCGTAGAACAGAACCAATCAATATCATAGATCTAGCTAGCGTTACATCAACATTCAACATGTTTGCCTCAAATCATCATCAAGTGTTTCGTCAAATGAACCACAACAACAATGAAGACACGTCGGCTGGTCCAATGAAACACAATGGCGAATTCAAAAACAGTGCGTCGTCCTTTGGAGCGGTTAGCAAGACACCTGCTGCATCAAGCAAACAACGAAGAGCTCTCGGAGACATTTCCAATCGAAATCGAGGTGGAATTGATCAGTCTGCTGGTCCCAAAAAGAGTACGGGTCTTCGTCTTCAGCAGCAGCAGCAACAACCGCAGCGCAACGCACTCTCCGTCATTAAAACGCCAGGCCTCTCCAAGAAAAAGGAAGTCGCCTTCTTGCCACGACCATCACAAGCCAAACTAGCTCCTTCCAATGTAACAATCCTCCCTGATTTGGGCAACAGCAAGACTCCGAAATCCATGGGCCAACTGCACAAGAAGAGTGCTAGCAAAAGCAAGGCAAAAGTCACATTCCATGAGCCTGTGGAAGAGATTGAAAAATCGGCCGGAAGACTCTGGATTGACGAACCCGCCGACGATGACAGTTACAGCAGCATTTCCATCCCAGGAATCGCCACTCTGCGACAAGACTATAAGGCCACTGCTAAGCGTGGACGTGCAATTCGCTTGAAGAAGCAACAAGAAGAAGCAGAGCGAGATGACCTCGCATTGGAACAATACATTGAAGAGGTTTTCGCCAGCGACGGTAAGTTTTGTCATTGCATTGTGCCTGTTGCGCTTGAAACGATGAGATGCAGTGTCTCTAATTCTCAGCAAATTCTTTCATGGATTGTTCAGAACAAGCAATGATTGGCGCTGATGTTTGGATTGAGCGAACGCACAGCTTTGACGATGACCTGGACGACGATCTGTCCTTTAGTGCACCCTCCTTTTGTGGCGACATTTCCTTCTAATAAACTCAAACGCCAAACTCGAATACTATGATGATCATAACACGGAAACTTCCTTGAGAGAGCTTCCTTCTCCATTCATAATACATCCAATCAATCGAAATTGTGGCTACAGATTCCACTACAAAGTGTACAAGAGCAGGTTCTAGCTAGGTCTTGCTACATAATACACCTAACTAATGTACAATACAATACCAATACAACTCAGCTCGTCGTGCTACAATGTACCGCTATCAGTTCCTCTTTTGTTCACTTTGTGAGTCTTGAGCTGGTAGTGGAAAAGTGAATGGCACTCGTTCATACTTCCACGCCCACTCCCGCATACAGCTTCCCATAGCCTCAGCTCCAAGTTTGACCTCTCCAGCTCGTCCGATGTCGCTTTCGATATCCAAGTCCCCGTCCCCTTTTGTTGTTTCCATGTGTACAGATATTGATCGAGTAGACAAATTTGGGCCTCGGCCCGGTGAACATAGCATGAACTTTCCCTTTTGGCCAATGGTTGTGATCGCCTGAATGATCTGCGCAAAAGCATGCCAGTGATCAATACAGCTCCGTGATGACGACAGCAGAGAATGTGCCGTCCCATCCTCCATTCCGGAAAGAGCATGAGCCAGACCGGTTTCCTCCCATTTCAAGACGCGGCAAGATGTCGGGTCGATTTTTGCCACTACAGATCGCGAAAACAAGTAGTGATCCAAAATCCAAAGCGATCTCTCCAATGCCGAGCAAACCTCCTCGCCTTTTCGTTCCGGAAAGTACTCCACGTGAGCATGGGCTCGAGTAGATTGTCGGGGAAGACGCACCAACACCCTGGTTTGTTTCGTTGTTCTCGCAGAGCCAGTAGCGCCGCTGACCTGGGGGACCTGCAGTATCATGTATCGGAATCCTTGAACATGCTGTTGATTGCTTCTACCATGAAGGTCTTGCCATTGTTCGAGCCCTTGATTCAACCCTTGAGTGAGACAATCCCTGGGGTTTGAAAAGGACGGGGGCAAGGGTGAATCCACCAATGCCACTCCATTAACGCAGGAGATTGGAAGAACTAATTGGCGCCCTTCAAAGTTGATCATGGTTTCCAATGCTTCCAAAGTTGCTACAATGGATGCTTTGTTGCTGGTGGCAATCTTCACTAAAGTCTCCTGATCTTGATCCAGAAAGTTCAAAGAACACTCTGGCTTGGGCAAGGGAACTTGTCTCCCAGTGTCAGGCAGCAGCAACATTTGGTCCATTCCATCTGCTTTGTCTACAACAACTTTATGGCTTTGAATCCCATCAATAAGCCATGTTGCAGCCGCCGTCTTGCCGCTGCTGCTGTGCCCTGGAGTCTGTGGCGAGATGACCTGGCAATACTTGCCAAACTTTGTGTCTTTCAGTCGGTTCCGCCATGCAGTTTGCTGAAGAGTAAGGTTGGCTGCCAATTGAACGAATTTTCCTGCTAGCGATGACTGTGTTGACGATGAAAATCCAATCAAAACTCGTTCCCTGTTGGTTTCCCAAAACTCAACCAGGGCTTGGCGGTAAAGCTGCTGTTCAGCCTCCACAAGAGCAAATAGTTTCCTGTAATCCTTCTTTTGGACTCCCTGTCCAGTTTGTCGATTGCCCGTCGCCACTATTTTCATATATCGTTGATGCTGTCCCGACGTGAGTGTGGAGAGCTGCGGATTGTCAATGGTCGCCACGCTGGATCCCTCTTGAGCATTCTCGTTATTATCGCCTTCACTATCGTTGCGTTGCGTGCCAGCATCATCATGTCCTGTTGCAGCGAGAAAAGCCTTCACAACTGGAGGCAGCTCTCGATTGGCTTCGGCAACAGCACTGGCGGTGACCGAAAGAATCATCTGATTGGACGAAGGCAGGGGCCGACGATGATTTGTACCAATCTCGCTTGTCCAGTCGTATACTCCATCCCAGCCTTCTTGTAGACCACGACGCCTCAGAGCTCGAGGTGTTTTTGGCATGGCGAACGCTTTCAAAAAGCTGTAACATAAGAGAGGTACATACAGTCGTTATCCCTTCGATAATCATACACCACTAGCTAGAGCCAGAGCCACAACACCCAACAAAAGGAGATACCGTACCGGTATCCAAGACATGAAACAGTGTCAAAGAGTGTGGACCTTAGCTTCCCTCATTGTCGTCGTCGGGTTGAGCCGAAGCCAGGATTATGCCGGCAAGGCTGTGAAAGTCTCTTTCTCATCCTCTGACCTAACAGGCTCTACCGTACGGTAGTCTACTACCGGTAGTATGTTTTCCCTCGAGTTGGTGCGGGAGTGGGTCCTTGCTTCAGTCCAGGTGTTGTTGTTTCCAAACTTGGGCCGGATCCAGGGCCAGGAGGTGGGCTTAGATTTGGGACAAGGAGTGGAGCATGGAGGTGGAGCATGGAGGTGGACCAAGGGTGAGCCCAGAAGTAGGTCCTGCTATTGTGCCTGGAGTTGGCTTGGTTTTGGTCCAGTAGTGAGGCCTGGGGATGGACCAGGGGTAGGTGCATGAGTATTCGTAACTAAAATGTATGCAAATGAATGCTTTTTAGTTTATTGCATAAATATAAACTTGTTCTGCGAAATAATAATAGCTGGGATATATATAATATATGGACTGCAATATACTCTGATGCAACTACATGTAGCCAGTTCCATCATGCAATCCTACTGGTCAATTTGAGGATGTTGCCATGTGCCATCACCCTGTGCAGGCAAAGCGGACCAAGCTCGGTGATGAAGAAGAGGTCGATGTTGCTGCTGTTGCGTCTGCTGTAGTTGCTGCTGCTCTGGTTGATGTTGCTGCTGCTGTTGGAGGTGTTGAAGCCGTTGTTGTTGTCGTCTTTGCTGCTTGGTATAGTAGACTTGCGTCTTCTTGGGCTTGACCTGTTTGCGGAGGGACGGAGGCGACTGCGGTTCCTGCTGGTGGTGAGATTCGGGTCGCTTTTTGTTTGGCACAGTAGTAGGCTGTTCTGGCTCTTGTGACTTTGCATTGTGCTGCTGTTGCAGCGGAGGTGAAGGAGTATGCAATGGAGCAGGGAAGTGCTGGTTCTGTTGCTGCTGTTCTGGTAGTGATGATAACTGTGCTTGACGTTGCTGCCACAGCTTGGAGATCATGGGCGCAACAAAGGAACTGTACGTGACGTGTCCCAGCATGGCTGTGAAACCTGCCTTGCCGGCAAACCCGACGACAAAAGGAGTCAATGTCAACCCCCAAGCGGCTGCAACGAGTCCCACCATGGCAAACACAGTAACGGATGGTATCTTTTGGAGCGATGCCATGCCGACGTAGGCTCCTACAGCAAATCCATTGTATAATCCAGGAGCATGCTTGTACTGTGTCATGTTGACCAACAGCATGCAAAAAAGAGCCCATAAGACCGGTACAAGAACGTTGTTGAGGGGTTTGGGTGGTGTCAAGCTGCCGTTGTTCTGTTGTTGCTGGTTGTTGTTATTGTTGTGCCATCGTTGGACGTGCTGATGATGAAGGATGCGCGTGGCACCAGCCACAACAGCCAACCAAACGACTGCCACAATGTAGCCAATGGCCAATTCGGCTTCTTCGGTCCACTTCCAGGCACTTGCCAATGACTTTGATGTCGAATCGGCTTCTTCAGCAACATGAAGGAGATGGATGAAGCCAAAATAGTAGCGGTTCCAGTCGACGACTCCTGCCGGGCCAAAGACCAATAGTTGCGAGAGATTCATGCCTATGAAAGTGGTCGTTCCCAACCGTCCGGAATAGCCATCGAGGATTCGATGCCATGGATTGTTCATGACAAAGCACCAAACGGCAGTCACTGCACCCGCCAGCAAGAGGAGCCACAAGTACGATACCATGTCTGGTGGTGATGTAGGAGTGGCGCTCTCCAGGCCGGTAGCTCCAATAATGTTGTGACCGCCGACAAAGGCGCCAACAGCAGCTGCGGTAAGGTGCGTCTGGCAAAATGGAGAAGCACCCACCAGGGTGATGAGAGTCATAACGGCAATCTGAACATTCGTGTCATTGGAATCGCCGAGATTCGAATTGTTGTACGAGTAGGTCAACAATGCGGCAACAGCAATGGTTAAACCTTGAGCCCACCAAATCTTGTTGGAGCTCCATTCTCGAATAAACTGTCGTGTGTGTTGAGCAAACTCGTCGAAAATGAGATGACACCAAACCATAGGCTGCTCACCGCCAAGGTTAGCAAAAGCACCTTCATCAGGTTGGGACGCCTGAATGTTCTCTTCTATATCACTCTCATCGCTGCTGCTGGGGTCTTCCTGACGCGGAACTGAAGCCAGATACCAAGAATTCGTGTTGTTTTGATTGGTCCTACCACCAACGCTGGTGGTGGTCGAGCTACTATTAGTACTGGTTGTTGTGCGTTGCCTCATACTGCTACTAGCTCCCTTCTTCCTCTTCTATAGCTACACTTGAGTGACTCTGTTTTCGATTATCTGAAAGTTATTTTAAAGAAGGCCGAAAGAACATTTTTGTCGAATGGACCTGAGAAATAATTGCACCCGAGGATGGATGAGCTCATCCACCATGCGGCGCATGTTTCAATTGGTCAGGGCTTGACACCTGCTTCCATTTGGTTCTCTCCTATTCTAGCGAGCTCCAGCAGACAGGAAACTTCAAGATACTAGCTAGCTAGCTAGTACCTCTCCAACAACATCATAGCATTCGGTACTGGGACCACATTACGTGGGCACTCTTCTTTTACCATGGTCGCAAGGAAAGATGATGTTCCGGCCTCACACGTCTTTGTCACACTTCAAACCACGCTAGCTAGTCTACATGTTGCTGCACGAGAGAACTGGAGCTAGCTAGAAGCAGCGTCGAGTCGAAGACGGAAAGGTATCGGTACAATCAATGCAGCCGGGACTTGCCGATGATGTATACGATGTAGCAGTTATCTAATTATTACGTAAGACATGGATGTCTCATGCTTCGTAGACATGTTTTGCTTGCTCCCCTTCTAGTACGATTGCCAAAAGGAAAGCATGTAAACTACTACTAGCCCAATGGCCATCTTGTGTGCTGTGATGTACTGTTTCACAGTTTTTGTTTTCCAAGTCCTTTCTGGTTTTTTGTTATTTAGTTTCCAGTCCACAATTTTCCGGCATCGGTATCTCCAGCCTTCAATTTCTTCCATGCATCGTGTGTCTCTTCAATCACTTCATCGGCAGCCTTCTTGTCCAGAAACTTCTCGTCGAATCCAAATGCATTGATGGGCTTGTCATCAGGAGTCTTGTACCAACGGAACCATTCTCGGACACCGGCCTTGACAGAGTCAGGGACATCATCAATGTCATTGTATTCTTTTGCCAAAGGATCATCAACTTGGACGGCCAAGACCTTCCAGTCCAATTCTCCATCATCAATCATGGCCAACACTCCCAAAGCCTTGACGGGTGTGACAGATCCCATTTCCAGGGACTTGGATCCAATTTCCACAACATCAATCGGATCATCATCTCCAAAGAATCCCAATTCAGGGCTGTTTCATTTAGTTTTATCCATTGGATTAGAAAAAAAGATAGTTCCAAAATAAATGTTAGTCTTGTCAAAGAGTCAAAAACACAACCATCCCACCAGCAAATTCGAGACGAGAAACACTTACTGCTTCTCGTTGGGATCTTCCCAAGTCTGGGGCAAGCATCCATAGTTCCAGAAGATGGGTCCATGGTAATCCCTCAGTTTTCCCTTCTTGATGTCTTGTGCAATTGGATTATTTTCTTCCTTGGTGGCAACCTCCATCTTTGCCTTGGTCATTTTGGGGATTTCCACAACCATGTTGTAGTTATCTCCATCCTTCAAGGGAATATCATGCCAAGGAGAGATGACTCCACTGTCTGTCTTGAACTTTAGTCGGAAAGACTCGGTGGCAGTTTCACCTTCCACCTCGGTGATGGTGGAGAAAAGAGCAGCGGCTGCAAAGCGGTTGCGAGCTACATTGGCCGTGGTCCATGCTGTGGCAGAGGAAGCCGTGTAGGCGACAGAAAGAAGAGTCAAAGCAGATCGTCCAAACTTCATTGTAGGCTAATTAACAATTTCAAGAGGAGTGGTGGAAGAAAAGAAAAATTATGAAACCTATCCAAGACCTCGTTCCCAAGCAAAAATAAGTGTGGCAAGGAATCTTCTGCATGGTGTCTTTTCGAGCGCAGATCGGCATCATCATTGGGCTCACATCAGCCATTGACGATGACAGTGCGAATGAGTACGTGTTCTCAAGTGTCTCAGAAAGATACTGGTACCCTGTTCAGTTCTACCTTCCGCGTGGAACCAAAGTTAGTCATGAATAATTCTGATCATGAGTGCCCCGGGCGACTTTCTCAAAATTCAACGACCCACAATTTCCACCCAAACACCACGTCATTGAAACATGGGCGACAATCCCAGCTGTCGTCTTGCTGATGGAGCCGCTTTTAGTCAGAACGCAAATGCTTCCGTACACAACAAGCAAATACAGTGGAGCACAAAATAATACAGAATTCGAGCCATCATGTGGTCGAAAACTTTGGTGCTGCTTTTGGCTCTGAGTGGGGTGTCTTCCTTCTCAACCAACGCGGTTACCAGCAGACGAACTTCTGTATACCTTCACGAATCGAGCGCGGATGTGGTAGCGGGGCCGGAAACCAAGGTCGACATGACCGCATCCATAGTGATGCCTCAATCCTACTCGGAAATGGTCCGTCAAGTGTCATCCGCAATGAGAGACGCCTTTGAGCAAAAGATTGAACGACAAATTGTCCGAGTGCTGCTGCCTCGCACAACGTCCAGTGAAGAGTTGGGCGTCCTGAGCGAGGGAATTCTTGATGTCGATTCGCAGGATATCGTGTTGGTCCCACCCGATGAATCTTGGCAAGGAGGTATCATGCAACTCTACTATTCGGCTGCCCCCACATGCAAGGACGCTCTGCGGTATGTTTTACTTCGCTTGTTTGTATTCTCTTCCCACTCTCTTTTTCAGTTTTGCAAATGTCGCTTCGTCATCAATCTCTCACCTTGGTGACTCCAACTGAAAATAAATGGATAGACTGTTCACAAAGACTGAGAGTGGAGTGTCTCCTCGTATCGAAGAAGATCGCAGTGTAGACGAATCTGGAGTGGATGGAGTTGGTCTGCTCAAAGCAGAGCTCGGAGATGACAAAGCCAACGTTTTCATTCAACCCAGCCAAGAAACCATTGACGATTATGTTGACGAGGTGGTGGCCCAGGGAGGTCTCACGCTTCTTTTCAATCCACAGTGGCGACTCACTGATGATGTATTCGACAAGGCATCCAAGGATGATAGCTTCTTTGGACAAGTTGCCTCCTTTTTGGGTGGAAAAGGCAACACTCTGAAACGTTTGGATGACATGAACTTTGAAAGTGTCTACAACTTTGAAGGATATGTCTGTCGAGGATACAATGTTCGCTTGGTCAAGCGTTTTGACTCTGACTACGTTGTCTTCTGTGAAAACAAGAGCTCCTATGACAGGGTTGGAACCAAACCAGTCAGACCCACTTACCAGGAGGTGGACGAAATGCTCACTGAGAAGGGCTATGGATACAAATACGCAGACAACATGGGCCTGTAGATAGAATGATTCAATCAACGATCAATTCACAAAATATATTGCAACCACCAAGCGACACATTTGCGACTGTACATAATATACTCTAACGTAGCAGATTCGTTCGAGATTCAACAGCATCTGAGAACGGGGCGTCACGAACGGCGAGCTAGCAAGATGCATCTCAATCTTTGAACAGTACCGAGCAACACATCAGCCCTAGTTTAAATCATTGACAACTGCTATAAATGCTGCAGTGTGCAGGTATAGATATCCATAAGTCCCTATGCTTCCCTCGTCTCGCCCTGAGTAACTCTGCTACTGATACAAGGCCCAAATTCGCGTGCCGTGGCTTCAAGCTGCGGCACAAAACAAAAACAGAGCCGCTTCGTAGCTTGTTGACTCATTCCATGAACATGCTGTTGCGTAATCCACAGCTTAAAGGTTCACTGTGTCATCAGCCGTGTATTCTCGTGGGGCATCTGGGGGCATTGGTGCGTGGGACAGGTTCGTCCCTGACGGTATGAACTGAACCCCCGATTGTCGGTTTCGTTCACAAACCTCGCAAGTAGCAGAACTGCAAACATGCACGTCTTGGTTAGCTGGTCTTGCCTCCATGTTAGAGAAGAAACCATCAACGGCGTTGGTGTTTTCAAAGCTTCGAAATTGAGATCCTTCTGCCGAGAAGCCAGTGCCCACCGAGTCAGCATCTCCAACCACACGGGCAATGCGAGGAGGGGTGTCAGAGGCGTGGGAATCTCCCTCAAGGTCTCGAAGGTAAGTGTCGTCATCATCTTCGAGCGACACGTGCTTGAGATTCTCTTCCCGTCCCTTGCGTCGAACCAGCATCAGAGCTAACAGTAGCAATACCAACGCAGAAGCTGCGATTGTCAAGTATCCTGCAGGTCCAATAGTATCATCTCCATTTCCAGCTTCTTGTGCCGCAATGCCACTCACAGAGCCACTTCGTTCCACACTTGATGCGCCCATGAGCCCTGGCACGTTCCAATCGTGATCGTCAATGGCATCTTGCACTCGCGTGAGGAAACCGGATGTATCAGAACCGTTATAGTAAACTTCCACTGGAATAATGGTGGCAAGGCAATCGCCTCCCAATGTGGTCGCTTCAGCGGTAAAGTCTGAGGAGCATCCTGTAAACAGCCAAAGGGTAAGACACAAGCGGGTTAGATTTTGGGGTGCACATCGGCAATATGCGCAAATCGATTAACTGTACAAACCATCTGAATCTTTCGTCAAGTTCTTAAACCGAATATCCGCAATGTCTTCACTGTTACTAGTATCACTGCCGCCGCCGACACCATTGCCACGGGCTCCATTCGAAGGTGTTCCATCAGCTCGTATGCAATCGGCAATCGCAGGGCCGACATTGTACTGCAGGTCTGCATGCATCAGCCGCAAGATTCCAACTTCCGGAAGTCCAGATTCCTTGATAACATCCAAGGCTACGTTGTATTCTACCATGTTGGTACCTTTTGGCCCGTCACCAACAGCAACGAGAACACAGGAGTTTCCATTGGCTGATCCTGTAACTTGTTGAGCAGTGTCTGGTGGATATCCAAAACCAGGACCATCCGAGCCTCCTGTTCCAGAATCTCCCTGGTCAGTTCCAGTTCCATAGTCCACGCCTGAGCCATCGCCTACTCCTGAGGCACCATCTCCAGCACTATGGCCAGATCCAGGGGCAGAGTCGGTCCCCGTTCCAGTGTCAGTGCCGGCGTCAGTACCAGTGCCGGCGTCAGTACCAGTGCCACTCCCACCAGTAGTAGTATCGACGTTGCCACTGACATCGACGGGTTCGTCACAGATATCATGGGGGAGGACCTTGGATGTTTTCACTTCTGGATTCAAATGTCCTTTTATTCCACCCGCTTTCCCTCCCATCTTGTCTGCCACTCCAATCTTCTTTTCGCCCTTCCCAGAATAATAAGCTCTCTCGGCCGCCAAGGCTTTGGACTCTCTGCAGTTGACAACAAACGTTGTTCGGCCATTGTCGTCTAAATCATCGTATGTTGCTGTGTATCCTCCTTTTCCTTTGCCTTTGCCATTTAAACCGTTTGTTACAATGGTGGATGTCACTCCTTGTCGTGGCGCGGACTCCCAATCTTGAGCTCTTCGCCGCCATCCTTTTCCTTTTGCTCGTTGTCCTTTGGTTGTAGACCGCTTAATTACGCTGGCTGCATCAATCTGAATTGCACCATGAAATAACACTCCAGCAATCAGCCAAATAGAAATAGTTACTGCCAATGATTTCGTCGAAGAAATCATGGTGGTTTTCCGTGGGGTATCCTACTATTCTCCTCGTTGGGGTATCCGTTTCTTTTCGCTGGTCCAAACACCAACAAACTGCCTCCAAGCTGTTCGAGAGTGAGCCCAAGTCTTTGGCAGGTGCCCAGGAAGTTGTTCCGCCAACACTTGCTTTGGTAACAAAGGAGTCAATAGTTTAGCAGTTCCCACACGTTGAATGCTTCAAAATGAACAGAAAAACAGGCCCCTTACAAGAATTGGAGCGAGGTCCGGCGCTCCTGCCAATTCAGGCGGGAGATAATTAGCACACAACGGCAAAGAAGCTGAAATTTTTGGTCGACTCGGATGCAAACAGGTAGATGAGGCGAGTTTCTATTAAATACAAAGCGGTTTACCTCACCTACCTCAATTATTACCGTTTCCTGCCCTGCCCGTTTCATGAGTGGGCGAATCACACGGGAATGGTGCTATCCCCCGCTTCCAAATAATTGCATTCGGGTGGTGTTGGTTTCAAAGTACCCCCCCAGGAACTGCTAGCTTTGGGTTGGTCATCAATGTTGCTCTTACTAGTACATGTATACAGTACAGGCACAGTACATAGTGGGATGAGGACGTATCCCACAGGCAAGTTTAGTCCCATATCTTGGTTGATGTACCGGTAACTACTGCCACCCGATTGGATTCGATTCGTTCCAAGTATTCCAACCTTGACGTGCATGTCTTGGGCTGGATGGAAAGAAAAGAGACACTACTACGAGTAATAGTAGACAAGCACCTCCTGCGTTTATTTGGACTTCGTATCATGTGTCTATATCCCTGCCCTATAATTGGCTTGCATCGCAACAACAGGCTGCCGCCCCTTTCCGGATTGCTTCCAAATTTTGCTGCTGCAGCCCTCTCCGATTGCTTCCAAATTTTGGTGTCCTTCGGGAGAGTGCGCTGGTTTCTAACAGCTTTGCTAACCTACTTGAAGGCAGCAGAACGGGCAAGCCGATATCTGAGACGAGCAGAAAGGTCTTTCAGAGTTTTCTTGTGCCAACCAGTTTGAATAGCTTGTGCTGGAGAAGGGTAGCCACGACGGAGCATTAAAAAGATCTACTGATAGCCCGGCAAATAGCGTACACAGCTGAGTTGCACAGCAGGTTTGGAGAGGTTATGCGCTACGCAGCTCTGTTGAGACTTTGACGATTAATTCTTGGCTCCAAGCTGGTGACACCTTGAGGACTAATGGAGAAGTGTTGAATGATCAGGGTTCTACCTACAAAACGAAGCATTGACCATGCTGGGAAGTCTTTGGTAGCCAAAGGTGAAGCTTTTGCAGAAAGATTGGCGATCTCGACTCTGCTACAGGATGATGCCATGGAATCGGTGCCTTGCTCTTTAGCTTTGGAGCACTGTTTTTAGTCAAGATGGTCTTGCACTCACAGTTCCTGTCTAAAATTGCTAAAACGAATACCAGGTAATTGCAGATTAGCTCAAAGATGCAACACATTGCTCATCGGGTACATTTCAACAACGAAAAACTACCGGTACCATGACTGTCACCTTACTACTAGCTAGTACCGTAGTAGCTATCCTATTGCTAGAGCTAGCCTTATAGCAGTTAGCCTGGTTTGGTTTGTTCACAGCCCAACAGACTAAATGCTATAATACCATTACATCATGTACACGTACGAGTTCTACCAGGCAGCTCGTATGCATACGTGTTGTAAGATTTGATATGACGTCATAAAGCCGTCTGACCTCCGTCCGCGGATTTTGAGGGGAAAGCGTCGATGATCCAGAGGCAGCAAGAGCCCGAGAGACGCAAGAGCCAACAGCAGCACTTTCCTCCATCTGTGAGAGCACGAAATTAAAATTCAAGATGGTGTTTCGAGTAGCACTGAATACTGTTGTTAAGCGAGCGGCCCTGACAGCCGCATCCCAGGTAGGTGTTAGAATTAGATGTCAACTATGTGTGGCTTGTGCTGTGGATCTGGGGCAAGTTCAGGTCTGGAAAGATCCATTGGATTTATCGGCATGCCGATGACGCATTGACTGGTTCAAGGGCTTCTCTTGTGGTTGCCGTCGACTCTTCCCAGCCGATGCAATCCCTTAGCACTGTAGTATCCGCTCACTAGGAGACTGATTGAACGAACATGGGACAAGACCAGGGCTGCTTTCATGAGACCACCATCGTCGTCACCGCAGGATTCAATCCACCCATTCCAAGATTTGCCCTAATTAGGGTTTGGGATTTCCGTAGCGGCAGTGCAATTTCTCTTATTGACCCATCAAAACTGCCGACGACCATGAACTTGGCCCAGTATCGACCACCCTCAGCCACTAGTACCCTCTGTGCACGGCAGTGTCTTACGTCTCCTCTCTCTGCTCTATTGAACAATTTTTTATTAACAGGCGGCTCGCCGCTCTGCTGGCAATGTCCTCTCCCGTGGAATGGCCAGCCAAACACTCGAGCTCTCGACCTACCTTGAGAGTAAGATTGGCGCCCTTGCCGGTGCCGAAGATACTTCTGTCAAATACGCCGAAACTGGATCTGTCATCTCCGTGGGAGATGGTATCGCTCGTGTTTACGGTTTGTCCAACGTCCAAGCAGGAGAGATGGTTGTCTTTGCCTGTGGATTGCGTGGTATGGCTCTGAACTTGGAAGAAGACAATGTCGGTGTGGTCATTTTCGGTGATGATCGTGACATTTTGGAAGGTGACACTGTTAAGCGTACTGGAGCTATTGTCGATGTCCCCGTCGGTAAGGAACTTCTTGGACGTGTTGTGGACGGTATTGGGCAGCCAATTGATGGAGGTGCCTCCCTCGACCAGTGCAAGCGCTCTCGTGCTGAGGTCAAGGCCCCCGGTATCATCCCCAGGGAGTCCGTCTCCGAACCCATGCTTACTGGATTGAAGGCCGTTGATGCCCTTATCCCCATTGGACGTGGACAACGAGAATTGATTATTGGAGATCGTCAAACCGGAAAGACCGCCATTGCCATTGACACCATCATCAACCAAAAGACCAAGAAGGAGCCTCTTGCTTGCATCTACGTTGGAGTTGGACAAAAGCGATCCACCATCGCCCAACTTGTAGGACAGTTGGATGAGCGTGAAGCCATGGACAACTGCATCATTGTCGCTGCCACCGCTTCCGACTCCGCTCCTCTTCAGTTCCTTGCACCATACACTGGATGTGCCATGGGAGAATATTTCCGTGACAACGGAAAGCATGCTGTCATTTTCTACGATGATTTGTCCAAGCAGGCTGTTGCCTACCGTCAAATGTCGCTGTTGCTTCGTCGTCCTCCTGGTCGTGAAGCCTACCCTGGTGATGTCTTCTACCTCCACTCTCGTCTTTTGGAGCGTGCCGCCAAGATGCACCGCAGCAACGGAGGTGGATCTTTGACCGCTCTTCCCGTCATTGAAACCCAAGCCGGTGATGTGTCTGCCTACATTCCCACAAATGTCATTTCGATTACAGATGGACAGATCTTTTTGGAATCCGAACTTTTCTACCAAGGTCAGCGCCCAGCCATTTCGGTCGGTTTGTCTGTGTCCCGTGTCGGATCCGCTGCCCAATACAAGGCCACCAAGTCTGTTGCCGGTACAATGAAGCTCGAACTTGCCCAATACCGTGAGGTCGCTGCATTTGCCAAGTTCGGTTCTGATTTGGATCCTGCCACTCAGCAACAATTGAACCGTGGAGTCCGTCTGTACGAACTCCTCAAACAGGGACAGTACGAACCCTACGAACCCGAAGAGGTTGTCGCTGCTCTCTTCATTGGTGTCAAGGGATACTGCGATACCATCGATGTGGAGCACATCCAAGACTTTGAGGCTGCTTTCTTGACCCATGTCAAGGGTGCCCACGCCAAGGTCCTTCAGGAAATCGTTGATGGTGGATACGTTCTCAGCGAATCCGCTGAAAAGCAGTTGCACGAAATTGCTGAGACTTTCAGCTCGGGATACTCGCCTTAGGAATCGTTATGTAACACCCGGCGCCAGCTGATATCTTTTTAATAACAAGACGTAGATAACACACATTTGTGGATTGTAACGTACTGAATCGAATCGTGAGTCCTCCAGCAAAAACAACTCGTCTACGGGTACCATTATGCTCTAGTAGTCCAACCACCGCCAGATTCCTGGTGCACCGTCCGCTCTCTCTTTTGAAGCACTCCTCTAACACTTTTGTCAATGCTCCAAACTGTTCGTCCCTGCGGTTGTTCCTTCATGCCAAGCATGTGGCAGGGAAGATTTTGGTTTGTTTATCTCCACCGGCGCTGTCAGGGTGTTGCCGTAGCTCCTCTCAGCCACACAGCACCTAGCTTGGAATTGATAGCACAGGAGGATAGGTTAGTACTACACTACTTTAGCACTCCTCTCCTTGGTTGATAGAGGAGCTCCCAGTGCCCTCCCAGTCTTTGCTAGGATGATACAAGGTGTTGAGTTGAGACAAGGTGGAAACAGGTTACATACAGGGAGCTACCCGAGGGGCAGCTGGTCCTCAAGAAGAGACAGGGCCAACCTTGCTTTGTTGATATTGTGTCATGTCAGCGTGGATAAGTTTGAGGTTTCATCGTGCAGGAGGGTGCCAAGCAAGGCACAGGTGAAGGCACCCAAGTCAAACCGATATTGCGTTGGGGTTGTGGGGGTGGCTTCAACAGAGCGATCAATCTCGAAGCGGCGGCAGAAGGGGCAGAGGGTGTTGGTGAACTCATAGGTGTTCATACCAACTATCCGTGGTTTCACTCAAGTTTTCAACAGTGGGCCCATCTCCCTCTCAGCCACTGTTGACACTGGGTTTGTGGAGGTTCTTGTAGACAGATGGGCAGGTACTCTTGTTGGTTGACAAAATGAGTCCCAAACAACCGAAGGAAGTGACATTCTCATGGGTTCTCCAAGGGCGGTGAAGATGACCTCGGGAGATTGTTGTACAGTCTCCAATCTCATTTTGCCTTACATTGCTGGCCCCAAAGACAGAGCTTGGAGTTGGGGTGGATTGTATTGAGGGCAAGGTATGACATTGTTACCTCCAACTACATCCAGCGCATGGAGGAAGAGGTTCAGAGCGCCCACCGCCAATACAAAGGGTGTCTAGAGGATGTTTCCGCAAGCAGTGTTGTCTCTAGCTACAAGCAAGTACAGTACAATACATTCAGAAGACAGATGCCGGCCATTTCTATTCTTTAAGAAGATTATAATTCACAAAAAGCAGCATTTCGTTGATGACGGCGATCTGCAGGCGTCGACTCCTGGACTGAAGAGCGTGTTTGGAAGATGCAATATGAATACTCTATACAATGTAGGCTGCGAGTTGGAGGATATGTCACTCGTCACAAGAGGGCATAGACGCTGCGACGCAAGGAAGGAGAAGATCGTTTGAAGATTGTTGGGTAAAAATAAGATAGCAACCCAAACCATCGGCATCCTCTATTTTTGATCATCTTGCAGTACATACTCTGCATTGTAGAACTTCTCTTCGTCGTATCGTCTTGGAGGCCGCGCTGCTTCGTCATGGTGATTGGCAAGATTGCTGAAAAGTTGAATTCGTCGATTCAATGCTCCCTTAAGTGGATGCGCCTTGACTGCCACTTTACGCTTTTTGATCACGACTGCAGCGATTGCTGCACCAGCAAGGGCGGCAACTGCAAGCATGGCAATGGCGCCTTGTCGAGCTGGTTTTGCGCTTTCCCCTCGAATAAATGTGCTGGCGTCCTTGCCACTACCATAATCTGATCCACTATCGCCTCCAGATCCTCCACTACCGTCGGATCCTCCTGATCCACTACCTCCACTACCGCCTGATCCACTACCTCCACTACCGCCTGATCCACCGCTACCTCCAGATCCTCCTGAGCCACTACCACCACCAGATCCACTGCTACTTCCACTTTTTCTATTCAAACAAAGCCAAAGTGTAAGCCAACAGACCAATTATGTAGTCTCAAGGGGATTTGTCCACTTACCCACTGCCTCCTCCACTGCTACCACCGCTGCAGAATATCAAAATGTACAGTACACGTTAGCAAGAGAAGCGTTGGATCTGTTACGGATCGGTTGATGAAACATACCCTCCAGAGCCACCTCCACCTGAACTACCTCCAGAGCTACTGCCACCACTTCTATATGCAATCAAAAGGACGAGAGTTAGACAACTACCCACTCCACTCTGGGAATTCAACAACTAGTGAACTTACCCTCCGCCAGAGGAACTTCCTGAACCTCCTCCTGAACCACCACCGCTGCTGCTGAAGTAGATAAACGACATGGTGGAAGGATGAGCTGGAGTTAAAGCAAACCTTTCAACATCTGGCCAAACTGGTAAGCTTACCCGCCCCCACCAGAGCCGCCTCCACCAGAGCCGCCTCCACCAGAGCCGCCACCACTGCCGCCTCCACCACCACCGGAGCCTCCGCCACCACCACCGCCGCTAAGCAACAGCCAATAGAATAATTGGATAAGCGAGATACAGGACTCGAGGCCAACTTAAGGAGTCGAGTCAACTTACCCGCCGTCGTGGTGTTTGGGTTCAGGAACGGTATACTGGTTTTCAGTCTCCTCGCTACTAGCTGCATACCCAATTGGATTACAAGTCAATGGCAAAGTGAGTGGTTGCAATGGATAAAAGGAAGACTATCCTGTGGTTGGTACCCCAGCTTACCCAACTTGCGGAGAGCCCCAATACTCTTATCTGCATCCACAGACGAAAGCGATAGAGCCAACGCCACGATAACGAATGCCAGCAATCTCTTTGTCATTGTTGTTTGTTCTTCTCTGCTACTACAAATGGGTATAAACTATCTACTCGAATGGCCAAATCGCCTCTTGTGGTTATGAACTTGGATTTGTCACGCTTCTGCTTCGTGGGAAGTATCACGCCAGGATGTTTCGGAAGTGCTGCTATTTCACTCCATACGAACCTTCAGCTCTCTCTTTTATCTTCATTCAAACAAGACTCTCTCCTCCCCTTGGCCGAAATGTTGCCGCCCTCTATCAGCGAGGCGAGACATAAGCAAAAATTGTTCTGTTTAGCTAAAGTACTGGATAACGATTATGTGGATGCTGTCTGCCGATCCAATAAATTTCGAGCCAGCGTTCTATGCTATCCAGCCATGAAGCTTTCTATAAACCTATGTAATGGGAGCGACGGACAGACCAATTGATGCCAACAAGATGGAAATCAGTATTTTTGTTGACCTATACAAGACTTAGAGGTTCCCCACATAGTACTTAACGAATCTATTGAGCGCCTGAAAACGTTACCATTACTGGTCCTACTGGAGCTTTCAAGTTTTTGTCGACTTTTGTATGTTTTCATGAAAGCCGCACGTTACTAACTCATTGGGGGGAACACTTGGATTTGACCGTTGCCGGAACCCGGAGCCAAGCTAGGTCCTCGAAAGAGTCAGGCTGAAGTGGCGGCAATTGGCATCACCCATGGAGCAACGCTTTTTGTCCCCTTGCTTCTCCGAGGTTACCGCCCATGGTGCTAGCTGGCCTAGATGATCAGAGCTCTGATCAGTGCCATACCACTACTGTAGCTATGCCTCTAGATGGGGATGTTTTGGCGGCTAAGTGTACCCCTGCTCAAGAAAACCTGAATCTAGATTCGTGCACAGCTCATTGCCTTCACTGAGGATACTGAGTTGTTCAGGTACCGGTACCAGGGTGCTCGAACAGCGATGCCAAGAATTGCAGCTGGCCACTAAGTACCCTCTGGTAGTGCGGGCGGGGAAGTTGGGGGCAGCCAGCATGCAATGGGACTCCGAGTGGTTCATTGCTCGCCTTCGCTTAGAACCAGGTACCATTGCTTGCGGGCTGTGCTCCGCACGATCGAACGACATGGCTATCTCGGTCTCGGCCGGTCCAGGCTGGCCCAACCCTCTCGGGGTCATGGAGCAAGGCAGCTCGCACGCCCAACGCCAGAGCTAGCTAACTGAAGTACTCCAAATCAGGTGGAGCCATATCTGCAGTACAGCCTTTGAATGATCATACGAAGCAGGATAGAGTGGTAGAAAAGGCTGTCATGCCGTAGATAAAGCAAAACAACGTAGAGGCTGCCGTACCGGTAGACTAGATTGTCGCTCACGGTACGAATTCCTCACGCGATCGCTTTCCGACCCTGATTGCATGGTCGTTGTGTACGACCTTGAGTTGGACCTGGGAGTAGGTTCTGGGAATGAAGAGCCAGGTGTTGGTCGTGGCATGGGACCTGGGGCGTATAGGTACACGTATTGTTCTGGTGAAAGTCCATGTATGGGGCCTGCAGTTGGTCCAGGAGATGGGCCAAAAGGGGAGCCTGTTGCGTGGTGTTGGGCTGGAGTTGAACCTCCTGGAGTACGTCTAGGTCTTGTGTTGCCCTTGAGTAGTCCATGTTTGTGTCCCGGTGTAGGTCTTACACCAGCCTGGACAAACATCTGGCCCAATACTGATAAGAGGACACCATCCATCTCATGGGCCAAAAGAGGCACACTCCCGATCCAACTCCATGACCCACGCAAGGCTCAACTCTAATTCCATCTCCTGCGCTACACCAAGCTTTGCTCCTGTAACCACACCAGGAACCACACCAGGCCCAGTAGTTTGTATTAAGGCTGTCCCTCCCCTAGACTATACCGCTGAACGGGGCAGAGGACCCATCCACCCCAGAAACGCAAGGTGCCATTTGGGAATGTCGCCCTCTATTTACATTGATGGTTCGTCGTCCGTGTCTGTTACCATTTGTGATTCTCTCATAGCCTTCTCCGCCACCAGAAGCTATTGTGCCAACCACACTTTGATGTCTCCCGGTGTCATCGCCATTATTTGTTCTTCGAATGGTCTCCATAGATGGTGTCGAACAGGTGGGTTGGAATCCCATTCCCCTTCTCGTATCGGTGTTCCGTTGCAACCGCTCCTGCTTCTTCTTCCATTGCTGCTCGTTGCTGCGCCCTTGGTGTGCCTGATTGCTATACCCACAGATTCCACCATTGCTGCATGAGATCGGCAGCTAGGTTGGTAGTCTAGAGAGCCTGCCCTTCTTGGAATCGTGGTTGCTTGTCCTGTGAAGGTAGGCATCCTGCTGCTCCGCCCATAAGTTCGCTGATTGTCCCCCATGAACTTTTCCCACCCTACTAGTATGAGGTTCTGAACATCAATGACTGCAGGTCACAACATCGTTCAGGATAATCACCAGGATAGAAGAAGCTAGATCGAAGTGATCTCCTAGTTCCATCAAGGGCATAGGTTATTAACTTAGAATTACGAAGTCCTCGGAGGGATCTAGTTCCACCAAGGCCATAGGCACTCCCGAACCGACACCTGGCTCCACACCTGAACGTGAACCTGAACCTCGACCCTGCCTCTAGCTAGAGGAAGTCCATCTCCCACCGGAACCATACCTAGACCATGTTGGATGGGGGTTGTGGCCTGGAGTTAGCCCAGTAGTGGGTCCAGGTCCGCGTCCATGAGTCTCCTAGTAGAGGGCGACCACTAGCTAGGAAGTGAACTTGTCGTGACCTACCACACCACCACTGCCATTTCCATAAGCGCATTGACAGTCCGGCAACTCAAACCAAGCTACAGGAGGAGCAAAAAGACAATATGCAGACGATACAAAACGAGGAAGGGACATATTGTTCTGATCCAAGGATGCCATTCACCGACCTATTGACAGCGTTACGCTCTACTGGTACTGTAATCAGGCTCCCTTTGAAACGAAGTTGTGGTGTTGTTGTCAATAATATTTTTTCTCTTTCTCACCGATCTTGCAGTGCGGGAACGATGGGTTGAAGATTGATTCAGACGGCAGCAATCAGGGTACCAGGTACCACTAGCTCTAGTATGTCACGGAAGCTCCTAGCCCGCGTTACTCACCGGGACCTGCCAGTTTCACAGCCATCAAGCACCTCTAATAGCTACTGTAGACCATTCTGCCTTGCGGTCTCCTTTCTACAAGGTAAACTACGTGTACATCCGCCATCTGTTAAATGGAGCCAACTTTTGGAACAGTCATGCAAGTAGACTAATTGGAGACCGCTATGCATGAATGCATTCTGCAGTACGCGGCAAGACAAGAAGACCTTTGCCTGCAATGCCTCCATAAGCTTTGTGACAACTAGCTACAGAAAGAAACCAAGAAACCAACAAATTTATATGGACATAAAAAACAGGGCAAGGACAAGCACCGTCCTGTGTAACGACCGACACCCAGTGTAAAAGTTTCAAAGAGAGAAGGTACGAAGCAGTCAGCTTGCGTCCACTAGCCTCCAACAAGACGCACCGCCCCCAACTTAAGAATTCTGCAAGAGCAGAAATTAGAACAAACACACGTAAGTGACCAACGCAAAAATTTGACAGAGGCCATGTCTATCCAAGCAAACGAGTAAAAGCCACACAGCTTTGCCCTACGTACCATGAGCTCTTTGAACTCTTCGAAACTGATCTCTCCGTCACCGTTGGTGTCGACTTCGTCCATCATGGCATCCAATTCGGCTTCGGAAAGTGCCTGTCCAAGCTTCTTCATCAGCCGTTTTAGTTCCTTCTTGTCGATTGAGCCGCTATTGTCTGTATCAAAAACTCGAAAAGCATCCCTTAATTCTTTCTCAGGGTCTTTTTCCCCAATACGAGACTTCATCAAGATGAGAAACTCGTTAAAGTCAATCTCATTGTCGCCGTTGTCATCGACCGTGCTGATCATCTCAATCAATTCCGCCTCGGAAGGGTTCTGGCCCAGCTTCCTCATCACCTGCTGGAGTTCGTGCAGTTCAATGGTTCCTAGAAGGCAAGCAGAAGAGAGTGGGTGGATGAGCGGACCGTCACGAAAGAACAACAAGGAACCGGTGGCATCGCGTAGAACATCCCCGACAGGGCAAACGGCAAGACGAAGATCTCCATCGCCGCAGCGGCAGCGGACACTCCTCTCTTGGTCAAGTAACTGATCTCCGCAACAACATCCATCCATAGCACCCATGACCAGCTTGCCAGTTGCGTTGTTTGGATATTCTGGTGTCGTGTCAAAGTCATGTCACCGGTACAATTTCGGTAGATAAAAAGATCAGACGACGATTTGCGCAGCCAAAAAGTAGCGACGCACCATCTCCGTTTATGTCAAACATAGCGAACGCCTCCTTGAGATCCGCCACTTCATCTTCCGTTAGTTCTCGGTCACCCATGTTGTTTGATATAGCGGTTGTTTAGTGATAGGAGCGGTTGGTGGTCCAAGTAGTAAGTATCCGATTCGATTCGTCCAGGAGACAAATCAATGTTTGCTTCGTTCACAAGACGAGAGGGAACTACGATCGAGTAACGAAGGATCCTGCCCTCCTTGCGGAGCGGGTGCGGTCTTTCCGCTCCAAAGCCGAGGGCAAGTGCCACAGAGGGCAAAGAAGACTCGAATGACCCAAGCAGGGCCGCCAATCAGAGGCTGCCTGCGTTTCTGCGAGACACAAGGTAGCACAGTGGCTCAGATCATGCTCTGCCGACAGCTGTGCGGACAGAAGGCCGCATTGGCCACAGCGATTGACCATTTCGAGCAAAGCATTCTCTTCTTCCAACATTACACCAGTCAATCAGCGTGACAGTCGAGTCGAGCCAACAGCACCACACCATGAGCGGACACGGACATCCTCAAGGCCATCACGGAGGCAACCCAGGCGGTGGTATGGGTGGACCTCCCATCAATTTGAACCAGCTGCAACAACAAGCGCAACAGAATCCGGCTCAGATGCTTCAGCTCCAACAGATGATTGCCCAGAATCAACAACGCCAACAGGGTTTGCAAATGAATATTCAGCAGCCGGGAATGGCTCCGCAAGCGCAGCAGCGACAGCAGCCACAACAGCAACAACAACAAGTCAATCCGCAACAGCAGCAGCAACAGAACAGTTCCTTACCCATTCGTGCCTATTTGGATCAAACGGTCGTCCCCATTCTTTTGGACGGTGCGTTCCACCGAATATCAATTCAACCGTATGTGCATCTTCCGCCCAATTCTTTGCTCATGATGTTTTCTTGTATTTGTTGTAATTGACCATAGGAATGTCCCAACTGGTCAAGGAACGACCTCCGAATCCAATCGAATTTTTGGCGTCCTATTTGTTGCAGCATGATCCTCAACGAGCTGCAGGCGGTGCCCCGCAACAACAGCGACCTGGGCAGCCATAGACAGACAGGTGGGGTTCTCTAAAAATATTATGTGGATCACGACATTGTCAGCATTCAAACTCCTGGCAACATGCCAAGCAAGTCTCATTTTTCCTGGGCCCGGAATAAACATCACCCGAGCAACAATTAGAGTAATCATCTATTCCATCGATCGAGTCTCACACCTCGAAAAAGCGACAATTTATAAACATGGTCTAGCTGCATGTTGCTCCAGAACAATTGTCTATTAGCTAGAGACTACTTTGCGAGATTTAGTCCAGATATATTTTACAGTAGATATGTCTTGGTTGCAATCCATGTCATTGCTGTACTAGAGTACTAGTAGTCAATAGCTAGCTAGCCTAGGTGCCAACGATACATTCCAATCCCTACCCACACAGCGGACACCGTTAGAAACCCCATTCTGGATCGTCGATGTGTTGCTGCAATTTCTTTGGACATTTCTTTGGTCACGTCAGGGGTTTCCAGCAGAGCAATTTTAGCAAAATACAAGGAGAGACCTGTGCATGTAGCCACTCCAGTAAAGAGGCAAGCAGAGCAAGATTCTTTCTGTGGGAGCTCGTGTGTGGTACCGGTACTGGGCGCCAAGGGATGAATAGGTGGTAACAGGTTATTTCCCATGCTGCTCCAGCTAGTAGACTTGGTTGGATTCCTTTCTTCGGGTTCACATTTGACAGTCTTTGGAAAACCTAATAAGACAGAAACAGGCAATGCTAGAACAGAAGCGTTGCGAAGGACCGATGAAGTGTTGGAAGTTGTCATCGTCCCGAAAAGATTGCAATGTTGGCTATTGCTACGGCAAGGAGGCTGTTACCGTTGCTTTCCGAAGCTCCCAACGTCGCGCCTCTGGAGACTAAGGACACGTCTCAAATCGTCACTCACACAGGATTCATTAAGTCATGCATAGAGTTAGGGCTCAGGGTAATACGCAGGACGCACCTCTACTTTGAAATTAATAGCCAATGAATCTTAGGAATTCCGTTCAAATCCTTGGTCGGTTGATCGATACTTAGACCAATGACTGTTGCCCTCGCTGAGAAGGAATGTGCTCGCTTCAGTTTACTCTCAAACAGTAGGCATGCCATCTCGCCAGTAGGGCATGCCATCTCGCTAGCCGGTGGTTCTGTCAAATTGTGAAAAACGGTCATTCCAGAAGACCCTTCACTCAAGGATACTGATCGCCAGCATTGCCATACCGCGAAACATCTAGCTACGTGGGTTTTGGTACTTACTCAAAGAAGCATTGACTTGCTTCCCACCTGGCCCGATCTTCGATGAGAGACTTCTTATCTATCTTGCTCGACATGCCTTCACTCTTTGTTTTGCGTGAAGACATAAAAGCCACAAAGATCCATTTTCCATTTTTCTCGGTAGCTCGAAATAGACCCCAACAGATATCACCATGGCTGATCAACTTACAGAAGAGCAGATTGCTGAATTCAAGGAGGCCTTCTCCCTGTTCGACAAGGACGGTGATGGTGAGTTAATGGACGTAGTAGCATTGTTGGACTAGCGTTCCGGGGTAGTTTACGAGGCCATTATCTCCTGCGCCAATGAGGTTGAACATCCATCGAAGACTCCGCGTCCTCGTGGTAGCTTCAAGACTCGTGGTGGTTTCAGCAAGATATACCTTTTGCATTAACTTCCTAGGTGTTGGCCGCACTGAGCTCCTTATGTTCCGCATGTTGTTTCGACGCGTATCCATGTTGATGGGTAATAGTACTAACAATGCGTCTTTTGAATCTTGCTTGCGTGTTACGCACAGGTACCATCACAACCAAGGAACTCGGAACAGTCATGCGATCTTTGGGACAAAACCCTACCGAGGCAGAGCTCATGGATATGATTCAAGAGGTGTGTATCCGCTATGGAAAAGGGTACTTTTGTGTATTTATGTTTTGCGAAGCTCACCGTCAATTTCTTCATTCGTTTAGATTGATGCTGATGGTAGTGGAACTATTGACTTTCCTGAATTTTTGACAATGATGGCTCGAAAGATGAAGGATACTGATAGTGAGGAGGAAATCTTGGAAGCCTTCAAGGTTTTCGACAAGGACGGAAATGGTTTCATCTCCGCAGCAGAATTGCGCCACATTATGACCAACCTTGGAGAGAAGCTTACTGATGAGGAGGTTGATGAGATGATTCGTGAGGCTGACATTGATGGAGATGGCCAAATCAACTACGAAGAGTTTGTGAAGATGATGATGTCCAAGTAAATCCTATGTTTGCGGCGACTCTTATTAGAATATTTGTTGGGTCTGGACCCGTGTAAGCCATAAATTATCTTTTTTCAACGTCCTATTGCAATACTAAAAGACATTTTGTACCCCAAATAGTGCATGTGTGTTGCAATTAGAGTAAACAACGGTACCGTGGTCCCAACTTGATCATCGCTTTGGCAAGTATCTAACAAGAAAACTATGATTTACAATGCTCCTCTCGTTGCTCTGCTTTTCGTTTCCTCTGCCGAACGATTACATCGTCTCAGTCGTAAGAAATAACTAGAGGATGCACATACCGGTAGGGCGGAGTGTTTCTGTCTCCCAAATATCCTGGAACGTTACAGCCGTACAGCAAGCAGCGTAGCATGTCATTTCATCTTGAGTAGGATACCGTACGGTATGGCTTACCAGTATTTCACTCACCCATCCCAGTCCACTTTGGTTTATCCTCACACCCTACCGGTACTACCTTCCATTGTAGCCAAACAAGCAACATGTCTTGACCATACCGGTACCCTTTTTCTATCTGCTTCCTTCAACCACTGTATCTACATTTCCCTTTTATTAATTGTTTCCCGCTGTGGCTGAGACCTGATTTTCAGCCATTCCAAGACCAAAGTTACTTCGACCAATGCCGGGACGATACTTGGACCGATTTCTAGAAGGACAAGATTTCGCCCAGTTCCAGACCTAACTAGTCTAGCTAGCTAACTCCTGGCCCAAATCCAGACACAGCCAAATCTTTGCTATTGTAACTCCAGTCAGGGCCCAAATCCTGGGCCTGCACAATACCCAAATCCAGGATATGCACCTGAAACTATTCTCGTGCCAAATTCGCATGTCCCTTTCCTATTTTCGGCCCCAAGCCCCAAGTACAGACGGTAGCTACACATCTTGCTTGGCCCATCTCCCCAACTCGACAGCAGCGCCTAAACCAGCCGTGACCCAACGGGTCAACCCACCACTCTTGGGCATCTTGGTTCCGGCACGATACACCTGGACGATTGAATCATTCAAACATTCCTGAAGCTAGCTTAGCTTCATTTGAGCGGTAGCTTTCCTAAACTAGCTACACTACGGAACGCTAAACTCATCAGTTTTCCAATTTCATTTTTTCTATTCGTTGCGATGACATTGAATGAATGGCCTGGTCGCGTTGTTGTTGTTGGGCCAGGGCTGCATGCCAATGATTGCATCGGTCAAGCGGAAACTTCTTGTCAAGCCTAAATGTATTCAGCAGAATATTCAGCCACCGTCAGAAAGTCTGACCCATGTACCATGGTCTCTTTCGTATGGTGCTGTTGGGAGCCATGACCCCAGCAGCGGCCAGGAAGCAGTGAAGAGTGGTAGTTGTGCTTTTCTGGAAGCATCCTACTTGGATCTTCGACGGCAACAAAACCAACAGTGGGCGGAAGACCGTTTAGTAGAAGGGGTCGCTTATGCATCCAACCGTGCGACTTTTTACCAAGCCGAAGAATCCTTCAAAAAGGGCTTGGAAGTGGTTCCTGATCACAGCGAACTCCGGAAGGCATATAGGAAATTGTTAGCCAAGAGGGGTCAAATAGACGGGACGGCAGACGTTTTTCTGAGAACAGGGCATGGATCAGATCAGAGTGCAATCAACGGCAATTTTGGCATTGCCAAGGTACCGGTAGCCTCCAATGACACTAACAGCAATGATGCATCCGAAAAAGACCACACAACAGACGGTGACAGCAAAGACGCACGCGACAATTCTAAAAAATGTCACGAGGAGAAACCAAAGATTGAGGGGGAAACGAAAGACTTTAACGGGGACAAGAGGACGAGTTTCGACACAGGGAAACATCAAGAGAATGACGCAGTAGGCAACAATGAAGCTGGGGTTGAAACTCTGGGTGAAAATAACGTGGACAGGGACAATGATGACAATGATACCTCAAGTGATTCGGAGGAACGGCGACGCAAGCGCCGCAAACGAAAGAAAAAGAAGAAAAAGAAAAGAGTCGCAAACGCTCCAGGAGAGACAAGGTTGATGAGTGATCGCACTTTTCGATGAGTTAGCTTTCATCACTTTTTAAAGTAGGTCGCCTGGTTGCCGCCTCTTTCCTTCGAGTGTGAACTACTCTCCATCTATTAAGAGCTATCGGAACCATAGTCTGCCAATGCATCCAATGCTGATCCGCAATTCCCGGTTGTAGTCTCAGCCCCAATTTTCTTTGATGGCATCAAAGTCGTTCTTTGTTGAGTGACCACCAAAATCTTCTTTTGAATGTTGCCTGTCCCTGGATCATTTTGTTGTTCCGAAGACTCACTGCCATCCTTACTACCGGTAGAATGGCTAGTACATGTAGTAGCTGATGTTGTGTTGTGCGTCGCAGAAATGACCACAGACGGTGATGACGATGGGATCCCATCGGGTACCACTGGTTCCGAAGAGTTTCTACGGTCCTTTTTCCGACCTGAGGAAGATTTCTTTTTGGTTGAAAATATGGATTTTTTCCGAGCATCGCTCATCTTTTTCTTTTCGGAACGTCTGCAATTTCCAAAGGTGGTTTGTCGTGCCGTCACTTCATCCTCCAAAGAATGATCTGCCAGCGAAATCCCTTCTCGAAATCCCAGGGCTTCGGCAGCTTTTCTCTGTCTTTTCCTATCCTTCCGCTCCACGCGAAACGAAGCGCGAATTGTGGCATTCATATCCGAATCTTGTAAAAAACATCGTTCGCTGTTCTGCTTCAAAGATTGAAGCTGGTCAATCTCGCTCATTGCTTTTCGTTTTCCTCGAGCGATTGTTTCCAGTCGGTCCAGTATTTCTGTCCCTTCTTCTTCAGAATCACTCTTGGTGCTTGTGGGAAGTGGCCGTTTCCGTTCCTCGATGTGTCTCTGCTGCTTTTGGATTCCTTTCAAGTAATCAAAACCATGGAGTTGTGGATTGGTACGAATTGCAAACACCGTCTCACAACAATTGCGGCATTTCATTCGAAACTCCCAAATGGGGGAGCTCAAATACTTCTCACCCGTCTTGATTTTCTCGGCATTGTAACGGGTTCCCTTCAAGATAAAATGCCCACATCCGGTACAACTGCCACTGCACGGTAGTTCAAAACGAACCACTGGAATTTGCTTGGGCTTGGCGGCTCCCGATTGTTTGGCCTGCCATTGATTCCGAGTCAGCTTGCGGTAGGCACCCGATTCAAAGTACTCGGGTGGTAGGTAGTAGCCATCGGCTTGGGTCGCCGCTAGGGACGACATGTCGAATGTCAATGGAAAATGGCTGCATGAGAAACCGCCTTTCGTCGTGTCTTCGCCGTTTTTTCTCTCTAAAAACAGAGGAGCAAATGTGGGTCTGGAATCGCCAACCCATCTTTCTCTGGACGATCCGGCAATTGGGATGGTGCGGAAAGTGCATGAGGCTCCAAGGAGATCCCAGTCTCCACTTGCTGTACCGGGTACTGGTACCAGGTACACTGTACGAGTACTACTCAGCAGGAAGGCAGACTTATTATAAGGAAACCAGTTTGATGCCAATTAGACATTTTTATACCAAAGCAGCCGATCCCAGCAGACCTGCACCACAGGTCCATAGTAGTCTATGGTGTCAAATCTAGCTAGTACTAGTAGCAACTACTAGCCACCGGGAAGCTAGGAAGCCCCCACTTCATAGCTGTCTTCTCAGAGCTGTCTACTTTTCGGAGCTAGCTAGCTGTCTGCCTACATTTTGGAGCTGTCTACCTGCACTACTACCGGTACTAACTAAGACAAGCACTGCTATTGATTACACATTCATCGGAACGAAACATGCACTGCTTCCACTCATTCATTACAACAACCAGCCATGCAACTCTTCACAACAATCCGACTGTCCTCCAAGAAAAAGCACAAATGAACCAGGCACTGTGGCTGGGCGGTACGGATAGTTTCCATGCCAACCAATATAGGCACTGTTTCAACTTTCCAATAAAAGTAGTCGGAATAAGAATTGCTGTATGGGAACAACTATGGCCAAACCTGGTATGGTGGCTCAAGCGAATGTTCTGATTAACAGGCATCTATCTAGCAGACAGGATCATCATGGTGCTTTCGCAAGCAAGGATCACTATTATTAGGAAGCTTTCGCTATAATGGAGACAATGACAAGCTAGCTAGCTAACAGGAGAGGTGCGAATCCTTGCCATCGATATGAGTTTCGATATCTAAAGCTACCATATTAAATCATTCACAGATACCAATACCGACCGGCACACTTCCAAATCGTTAGAGAACTCTATATCAGAAAAATGGACAACCCACATAGTAGGAATCACCTTCAAAACACTAGAAATAACAAGGAGGGATGAATCCAACATAAAAGGAGGGAGGAATCCAATACAATAGGGGAATCGACTTTCCCCTGTGCGTGTGTGAGTTGTCGTATAGCCTCCCTTGGTACCGGTAGATTGTTCTAGTAGCACAGCCTCTAATGTTACCGTATCCAAAGGGATGAATCGTGTAGCCTCCAGTTGACTGTTACATTTGACTCGATGACAATCGCTCAAGCTGATGATAGAGCTGGATTTGGCAGCACCTCTCCCGTAATAATAACCGATATCAACCTCTCTTTCTTATCTGTGTCATTGCAATCGATTTGATTCAACTGCAGACAACCGGTGACTTACCGTTGATCTTCAATGAGAGATGACTTTCCAATCTTCACCTGGATACTTCTACGGATCGATCTGCTTGGATAGCCCCATCCCGCTCTTCAGGCAAAGAATGATCCAACACTTCGTTCAGTGCGGTTCAGTACCGACTCCAATCTCTTTACTTAGCATCGCTCCCGACCCCATTCTCATTATCTCATTATCCTCCTCTGGTTGATTGTTGCATTTCTTTATTGACTCAACGACGTTTGTTCAGGCTGGTAATAGAGCTGGAGTTACATGTACCCGTACAGTATCGAAGCAGTCGTCTCCTCTTGATATTCGAATCGATAGATCCACTCGACAATGGCGTTGCACCAGCCGTCGGTATCAACTATAGTCCAGTAGAGAAAACAACATTAGATACGAGTGACTCTCTCACTCAGGATTTGATAGCAGACATGCGTGAATATTAATATTCACCGGCTTGGAACAGATATTATCAATTCGAGCCGTCCAGTCGGGCCAAAGAATGATCCAACGCATCGATCCCAGAGTGGTGATACAGCAGTAGCGTGGTACATGTAGCCTATCCATTCGCATTATTCAGCCACTGTCATTGCCTCAATATCCAGCCATGCAGCCATGCAGCCATGCAGCCATGCAGCCAAGCTTTGGCTAATAAAAGTCAGCACACAAGCAAGAGAACCGCATCAACTGAAGCAACACGCTGGCTTTATCTCCACCAACAATGTTGATACAGTGGACAGAGTGATCGGTGATCAGTGCCTGACAACAACACACAATGTCGGAGCATCCCAGCATCCCAGCATCCGAGGTGGGAGCGTTGGAGCATCAGATGAGCACACAATCTGAAGAAGGCATCTCTCTTTGAGAAGAAAGCATCTGCCATTTGGCTGTCACACCGTTGGTGTTTCTTTTTGGCAGGGGTCCCCTTTTCTCTCCAACTCTTTTCTAGCTAGCCTACCCCCTTTCAATTTTTGACTTTTTGGAAAGATCAATACCAGTTGTAGATTGCCCCCACCTGTTTTCTTCCCATAGCTTTTTCAAAGCTGTTGTGATCAGATATGTCATGGCTACTTGATTCTGTGTAACCGTCAATAGGTGTGTGCTTTACCATGGCTGTGCCAACCTGCTCAAAAGCCTCCGTATACCTGATTGAAAATTGGTCCTGCCACTGATGTTTTGATAGTGGTGCCCTGCCAAAAAATGTTTTAACTAGCCCCCTTTGAAACCCCTATCATTAAGTCGTGAGGAAACCTCACGGATTTGTGACGTCAGTTTCACGACTGAATAGAACTGTCGTCAAACGTGCTTTAAATATGATTTAGGCGACAGTTTAGGCGACCATTGAAAAATAGGCAACGGTTTAGGCAACAGCTAGGATTTAAGCAACCGTTACTAGCATTTAACGGGTTGTTTCTCGAAGCATTAGGCAACAGTTTAGGCAATTGCCTATAAATAGGCAACTATTTAGGCAATCGCCTAGATTTAAGCAACTGACAGTTGCCTAATTCTTCGAGCAACTTTTCAGTCGTGATTCATAACTAGCTAATTGCCGGATCGTCCTGGGGTTGGTCTGTCAGAATTTTACCTCAACACGGCGGCCAGTAGTTGAACATTTTTGCCAGTAGAAATGTACTGGGATCTACAGGGTCACTCCACAATTGATGTTTGCTGGGGAGACATAATTTTGTTGGAAGCAGCCTTCAGTTTCGAGGTTGCTCCTCTTGTTTGTAGAGTGTCGAAGGTGGTTCTGCTGAAGAGACAAGGAGAGAGTGACTTTCCTGTTGTAGCCTTGGTTGTCTCTTCTATCCCAGAGTCGATTTGGCTTGGCAGCTGCGTTGTCTGCGGTTGATAGCAGCATGAGCATCGGATCGCCGCACCAAGAGACAACAGCAAGCGGCAACGAGGAGGGCGACTGCAGTGTTGTACCAAACTTCCCACTGGGTTCACGTCTTATTGGCTCCTAGGGAAGTTGGTCTCGCAACAGTCGATCTCCGATTGGATTGGATTGTTCTACCGCTGCCGGTTCTACTAGCATCTACGTTGTGTGACGGAATACTATAACAATCAACACCTTCTTTGGCTGCGGACAAACGAATCACCATTTGATTCTCCAGAATAGGATTGGTCAGCACCAATCATTGGAAGGGGAAGCTTAGCAGTCGCAGTAACTGATTGAGGCGCCCCCCAGTATCGATTCCAATTTCAGATCTGTTCATACTGCTACCCGGTACCTTAACGACGATTGTCACAGCTATATCTCACAACAGCAACGTATTAGTATGAGGGACACCTACTACAACGGCGCCTACTTGTACTCGATGAAAGCAGCAACAGACTGCACTTTATGGAGCCCACTTTGGTCGGCAACGCCTTCAATGAGCCACGTTTAGTCACCACCGACGACTTGAACGAGCCATTCTTCAGCCGTGGAAAGCCTACTCTATGGAACCCAATTTGCTCAAAGTCAGTGCAATACACGGCTCTTAGCCTTATTCGCGACTCGATCCTAGATAGGGTTTGAGTTCGACTCATGACCGAGGTCTCTCGTGAATAGTCATTGAGACAGGTTCCAATGACCGCGCTAGTCATACTAGGTTATGATGAAACATCGCTAGATATTTAGCCAGCGTGGAGTACTTCCACGCTACTAGTCCAGGCTAGACAAACCTTCCACGCTGTCCGTTTAGGATCGTGGAGAAGACGTAGGATAAGGCTAAGAGCCGTGTATTGCATTCGCCCCTGACAAGGGTAACAGAAAGCGCGACAGCAGTGGACAAGGAAAACATATGATTTAAAGTGCGGGCACTCTCATGAGATTTGGATGTAGACATGTGCTCGTCACGATGGCAATCCTACAAGGGGATCAGGCCTTGTATGGGTGTAATACCTCTATGTTCCAGTCTGTTAGACTGTGCCGCCATTGCGGTAGCATGTTGGAGCCGTACAGTGCATTGTCATTGACTGGTTATAGTGTAAGGACTTTGTACTTTGGTGACCGTACTTGCGGTGCTGTTCTGTTTAATCATCACGTTCGTTGACATGTATTGATGAGGGACACGCGTTGCGTTTCCCTATCGTTGTTTTGTTGGATTAGTCTTGGCGACGTCCTTAATGTACTTCAGTTGGCTTCGAACCGGAAATTGTGAATCGCGTCACGATTGAACACGAGCTGGGCGGCGTTGCACGCAAGGTGGTATGAATGGTGGCATTCATTTCAAAGCGAACCGCCTGAGGACTCCATCCAGGATCCATTCACGAGGTCGTCTTGGCACTTGATGTTTTGAACAGCGAACAAGTTACGTATGGTTTGATGAGCACCCTCGACCATAGAGTTGGCTTGAGGGATTTACCGTGGTGGGTGAATCTGCCTCGACGAAGTCCATATTCAATCCGCGCAGTAGTCTTTCGACCTCTGCTGCGGTGAACTCGCATCCTCTATCATGATAACTTCAGCAGGCCATGGGATACCGACGTAAGCCACGTTTGTTCTAAAGACGATGGGCTACTTCGTCTGCTGCCTTGGAGCAGATCTCTTCAATCTCGACCATCCGGTTACGGGATTCATCATTGTCAAGACAATGAAGTGTGCAGGAATTCTTTTTC